GCCCCCCGCTGCCAGGGGCGCGTCCCCGGCCCTCTTCCGGCCGCCATCTTAGTGGCGGCGCCGGGCCGCGCCGCCATCTTGGTAGGGGCAGGGCCGTGAGGCGGGAGCGCGGAGCCTTTCTCTCGTGGCACCCGCCTGTGGGCAACAGCGCTTATCCACCCGTTTTTAGGCCTTGGGGGCTGCTTTTGTAGGTAACATTGAATCTAGAACTAGAGCTCTTCATGCTAAACCCAGAGGACCTGGATTTTCCAAAAAACCTCATGTGATTGCCTCCCATTTGGCTTTTGCTCCCGTACCCCCCAAATCTCCCTCAATTCAATCTCTCTCTCAAGGAGTGATTCCCATTTCCTTGTTTTTAGCTCCTCTGAGCCCTTTCTTACAGTATTGAAACTAAAGCATAAGGCATAAGACAAATAAGAGTTACGGATGGACATTTATAAAGGAACACTGGCCCATAAGAAGTGCAATAAAAGTAATTGATCTAGCTGTGAAAAAATGAAAAAATTCACGTGGTGCAAGAGTAATTCAGGGCAGGCTTGAAGCAATTAACCTACTAGAATGCGTTTATCATCTATTGTATTTGTTTTCTTCCTTCAAACAGGAGGAAGTTTGATAAAAAGTTAATTATAAAAAACAGTTGTGAGTTTAGGTTCCGGTGTGCTTTGTTCTGAAGAGACCCCCCTTGGTTTTACTGTCCTCCATCTTCTCTGTGGGACCATTTTGTTTATGGCTGGAAACAGACACCAGTGCTGTGAGATATGTCAACAGTTTTGCACGTCGTTATGTGCTATTCCTGCAAAGCAGGCAGGAAGTGAAGAAAAACACTCTGTCCAGCAGTGGGAAAATTAAATAATGTAATTATTGGAAGCAGAATGGAGCCAGGAATCAACAGCCGTCTGCTCTTCCCTAACACAAAACACTGCAACACCCCTAGCAATTACTAGTTCCCTTTCAACAAAAAGGCAGTGCCACTATCAATACAGCCTGTTCCCCTCACACACGGATTAATTAAAAGCTACAATAAGCCTATCAAATCATCACTCCTTGTAACTAAAGGGCAAGATTTCAACAGCACTTTTCTCTTAGGCATCAGAGTGAAAGAGGCTGCTGGAGTGAACTCCTCCACCCTACGTGTTATCTGGAGGTTCTTGAAGCAGTTCAGAGATCACCTTTCCCATAGGAAATCTCTGTTTGATCTTTAATGAGGCTCAAGCTGGGGACTGCAGGAATAGTCACTGTGATTAGTTCAGTGTACATGAAAAGGGGGAGTTCACGGGGGTTTGACAAGCAGGGGATCAATCTCTTCCCCCGCTACAGCTCTACCAGGTGTCTTGATGTATTAGGTTTTCATCATGATGCTGATGTCCAGGGACCAATCTCACCTCAGGTTCTGCAGTGTCCTTACATTTCCACCCATCATTTTGCAGACATGAAACACGCCCATGTGCTGTCCATTATATAGGTAGTAAAGTCAGGACTGCCACCATGTACCCCATTTAATGCACATGTGCAGAACTGGCTTTGCACATCCAGAGGGTCTATCCAGTGTTTCCAAGGACATGTTGCAAGTACATCCAGTCTTCCTGGAAGGTGTTAGAGCTTCTGCATGTGGCCCCGCAGCACAGTACACACAAATAACACTCTAGCCAGCTTGAAGTACGCCTGGGAATTCCTCACTTTACCACCCAGCACAGGCACAGTGGTCACGGATGACACAAACACGAGCTGAGAAAGTCCTCAAAGTCTGAGGGCACTGAGTTGGGCAGGGAATGTGTCTGGAAAAGCCCACTTGCGTGGTGGCGCTAAGGCAGCTCCTAGGCCTAAGTCCGTGTGCTTTGGAGCTGACACCATCCCGCACATCCTTCCCTGCGTAACTCCCCTCTGGCTGCCTTTGGAGGCAGGTTCCTCGGGAATGCACACAAGGAAGATGCTATTATTTGGGTCAAAGTAAGAGGCCTCAAATATCTAAAGCGTAGTAGATGCTCCCCCAGGCAATGATGCCATCCCAAACCTTCTCTTCCTTCTGGCTCAGCTTTTGTCTTAGCCGAGGAGCTGCTGCAGGTGAAAGCCCTGACGAGCCCTCCCGTCAGCGCTGCAGCCTCAGGGCTGTAGGGAAGAAATGCCACAACATGTTCTTGAACGGTCATGCACCCTCCAAACTCTGATTTACCGACAGCTGCTTGCCTTTGCTTGGGTTATCTTCCTGGAATCATTTGTTGAACATCCCTCTATGCATAAAGAAATATATATATTTTTTAAAATGTCTCAAGGGCTGCAAAGCCACAAGTATTACAAGGAGCTCAGTGACAGGGACAGTGCCACCTTTCTGGTGCAGGTCTAATCAGGTCCTGAAGTGGTATCTGCAGAAGCTATAGAGGCTTGGAGCAAAAGCCTCTTGCTGTGACCTCTCTGGCAGAGGGCATTGCACTGACTAGTGTGGAAGCCACCAAAGGGCAACATCCACATTCAGGTTGTTTCCTTCTTTTAGCTCAGATCCCCCGAGCAGGGGCAAGAGGGCTCTGTTCTCTGGCATCTTCCTGCTGGCATTTCTGTCCAGGCAGGGCTAGAGGTTGAAAATCAGTCAGATGGAGCCCCTCAAGTGCCCAGTTTATCCCTGCTGGGTCCTTCCTCCAGCATCAATTGCCTTGTGCTGGCTCTTGGCCCCTGGGAGACTCTCCCAGCCTAGCAGATCTCACAGGCCTGGTAATTCCAGATGTGGGCCCAGCATTACAACACCTCCCACTGCAACCACTGCCATTTGACTGTCATCTCCCCGCCACAGTCCTTCCTGTCAGCCCCATCCTTTGCATCATTCAGCTAATTACAGTGCTTTCCAGTTTCCTCCAAGACAGCGCCCAGCATCTTCCCTGCCAAATGACCCCTCCAATCCTTTCCCAGTTCTTCCCTGTTGGGCCAGCAGTCAAAATGCAAGCAGTGAGGGAAGGAGAGGACTCTGCATATTCAGCACTTGACCCTGCCTTTTCCCAGGCAGAAATTCAAATAGCACCTCTGTAGGAGCGGATCACAACACCTCCCCAGGGCATTCCTAGCTATTGTAGCCCTTCTCCGCTACCCCAGGCTATGTATGTTTGTAGTTACCAAATGCAAATCACATTTCTCACCCCTCCTGGCCCACTCTTTCACTCCACAACATCCTTCCCCTGCTTTTTCTCACCAGCTCGTTTTGCAAAGCTCTGCAGAGTTCACAGCCCCTCCCAGCTTCACCTCCCTCTGATCTGGCCATGACCACTATGCGAAGGCATTTAAGCAATCCTCCTAATTAAGTACCTGCATCGCCTCTCCACCTAGCCTGGTTCTGGGAACAGAAGGTTGCCCCTTTTGCAGCCTGAAGACTTCCCTTTTCTGAGGAATGATGGTGACTAACTCCTAATTGCATTTTAAAAGGTGAACTGGAGAGATAGCTCTTGGCCTTGCAGCTGCGAGGCCGCCTTGCAGCTGCGGCTTTGCAGTCACCCCAGGAAGGCTCTGTGCCAGCAGCCTGATGGAGTCGATGGCAAATTAACAACTGATAATGATAGTTAACTCACTTAGTTAACTGTGGGAGCATATGCTTCACCCTTGAGCATTTCGGCTTCCAGCTCCCAGGCTTGTCCCAAATCACCTTTGACTCTCAGCTCTTATTCACTCTTAATATAGAAACCTGGAGCACATTAAATGGAGGGGACAATTTACAATAAAAGCTTATGAATTGATTCCGTGACCCAGCAGAGGCTATTAAAATGATTGAGTGAATATGGAAATGAGTAATCTTACAGCTGGGCTCAGGGCTGAGCACAGCCAATTCCATTCAACACAAACCACAAATAAAACAAGCTGCATGCAAAGCCACTGGTCTCTAGGTCATGGTGTGGACTGCAGGAAATTGTCTTAGGATTTCAGTCACATTTACCTGTGTTCCTCATGCTGCAGGTTTTCCTGAGCACATGTGTATTTACACTCATCCTTTCTTTCCAAAGCCTGCAAGAACTGGGATCTCTTATTCCAGCAAACACTTGGCCAGCTTTAGTGCTAGAATAAATCAGGGAAGGAGAGGTAAAACAGGCCCCCCCGTCACTTGTGACTTCTTGCTGTTCACACGCACATTTAGTCCAGCCCACGCTCGCAAGGAGGAGAAAATAAGACCACGCTTCTCTGGTTCCTAGCTAAGGAAACTAAACCCCCGAAGGCTGAGTTCTCAGCATGTTGTTCAGACACCAAAGGCAGTTTCCATGAGGTTTTTTATGGCTGTAACTGCTGGTTAAAAGCAAACCTGGACCAATGAGCAGCAACAAGAATAAAATATTTCTTAGAAGAGAGCCTGTTCTCTGTCATACAGGCTATGGCACCACTGTGTGGGGTGCAGAAACGGTGCTTCGCTCTCTGCAGAGCCTCATTTTCCCTGTGGCCGCTCCAACAGAGTGGAGGAATGAGGCTGTCCTAGGAAACATGTAGGTCTGTCACCAGAAGAGATGCTGTAATATGTTTATTTGAAAAAAACCACACACACCAGAATCCCACTTCCATTAAATAAGCAAGGACGGGGACTAAAGGCTCATTCTTATTTCCCCAGCCCTCTGAAGACGTGTCCTCTTCCCAGACCAGAGCACTAGCACACCCAGTGTCCTGGGCGGTGGGAAGAGACTGAATCCCCTAGCAGGAGAGGCAGGAAGGGAGAAGGGACACACGTGGTGAATGGGCTCCTACCTCCAACACGAGTTCAGAGGGCAGAAGCTATCGGGCTGCCCTGGCTCTTTTCTTAGCACAAGAGGCCAGGGCAGCCTCGCGGAGCCTCCTGTCCACAGGCTCCCGCGCCAGCATCGGGCACGGATGAAGCCTCTCGTTACTGAGGAGGAGCCAACTCCACGCAGACCTTGGAGAAGATGGATGAGCCTCCCGCAGCAACAACTGCTTCTCTCCGTGTCCAAACACGGTCTGCATTTCAGAGCCTTTGAAAGACACTGGACAAATATCTGCCCCTGAGGAGGAACATCTAGTGGTCTGGGGTGATCCACAGCAGAAACCTGCCCCCCAGAGCAACTGCCCGTGACCCCCTCACCCCAAGCAGCAGCTTTCTTGCTGCCCTGCAGCCTCTCCCTGTGGACAGCTCTTTCCCCCCGCTTCCCCATCCATCACTGCTAGTTTTCAGACCACTGTCAAAAACCTCCCGCCAAGAGACAATGGCAGCCCAGGGTCCCCATTCACCCCTGGAGAAAAGGGCCTGTGCAAGCGGAGTGATAAATGGCCTGTCCCCAGCAGGACACGGAGGGCTGGATGCTCCTGGGCATCCAGAAGGGCAGCCCTTTGTCTCGTTCCGGAGAGAGACGCAGGAGAGCTCGGCCTTGGGTCTTGGGCTCCCGCGCAGCGCCGGGTTCGTGGTGTCCCACGGTGCGGCCAGAGGCCGGTTTCGCCGCGCGGCCCCTTCGCGCTGTAGCGAGGAGCATCGCTCGTGGCCGGCGCTCCGGGTGGCACCGGCACCAGGAGCTCCCCTGCGGCCGCGGGGGCTCCGCGTCATTTACAGACGTGTCTGTGCACCGCGCGCCGGCACGTCCTGCACGCCACGTAGCAGCACCAGCGGTACTTGCAGTGGCACCGCTCCAGCACCTCCTCCGTGTAGGTGTTGTAGCCCCGGCCGCAGCACATCAGGTCGCAGCTGTCGCTGCCCGCGGAGCTCTTGTTGCACTGCCTGCCGCGGGAGGACGCACACGCGGTAATTCAGGACACACGGGACACCTGCACGTCCCCCCGACGCGGCGCTGTGCGAGCTACCTGCCCCGGCCTCCTGCCAAGCGTTTCTTGCCCGTAGCAGGAGGCAGCGAGACGGAGGGAAAAGCAGGAAGCGCTAAGTGGAGTCAATTTCTGCTCACGTTACCATGGCAGTGCAGAGGCCGCGCTGCAAACACAGCTGCGCCGCGGGCGGACGCGCTGCCTCGCGGGGCGGCAGGACCTGCCCGTGGGGAAGGCAGGGAGGGCGCCGGGGCCGCTCACTTCTGCTATTGCCAGATCTACGGGGGATTGCAGGGCCCAGCCCCGAGGCTCAGGCTGTGCTTCCCCCCCACACAAACACTCCTCAAAGAGAGGCCCTGCGGGAAGCACCGCGGCCTCCAAGCACCGCGGCACCTTCCCGCCCTGGCTGCAGGCACGCAGCACCCAGAGGTTTGCAGGGAGAGGAGAGCTTCCCGCGCTGACTCCGCTCACTGAAACGGACCCTGTCCTGGAGCAGGCTGAGCTCTCCGTGGTGGCCTGATGGGCTCCCGATTGCCCTGAATCCCACACAGCCAACATCTGCTGACCTCCCCGCGATGCCTGCGCAGGGCTATGGCACCTACACCCCTCTGCACCCAAGGGCCGGGCGGCTGCAGACACTGTCACAGGGTATTTTGGCTACACACATAACAGAAGCTCTCCAGATCGGAGGCTGATCTGTTACATTTCGTAGTTTCTTACCTGTCCTGTGTCCCCAGAGAGCCCAGCTGGGGGTTCACGGTGCAGTAGTCTGGAGAGTTGACCAGATAGACCAGGTCCGTCTCTCCCACCGGCCTCATGTCCGTTTCTTTGGGTACGAGCTGCCTCCTGGGCCCCAGGAGCCGGTGGGTCACCTTGATCGCTGCCAGGTACTTGGATCTGAGGTCAGCAGCAATTTCACCCAGGCTTGGGAGACCTTTCCAACAGGTCTTCACTGAGCAGGAGCCTGAAACACCGTGGCATTTGCACTTGGTTTCCAAGGAGTCGCTCAGCACCTGCAGGAGACAGGAAAACAGGAATTTACTTTTGCCTTCTGCTTGGCGCTGTACTGATTTATTCACAAGAGCATCCATGAGGGACGAAAAAGCCGCTGCTTGCTGCCACCTGAGAAACTTCTTTTTCTGAAAAACTCCCTTTCTTCAAGAAACCCATCTGAGGGCCAAAGAAAACAATGCTATTGGGACACCAAGAGCACGCTTTCTTTGCAATGAATAGAATGGGGCAATCGAGGCCTCGGCCCCGCTTCATTCCCCGGGCGATCAGGGTGTAACCTCTGGGAAAAAGCAGCTGGAGCCTGCGGTGGAGCCAGGCGCTTCCCCGAGGTCCCCGTGCCGGGCACCGACGCGGCCACGTCCCCACGCAGGAAGGCGCCTGCACGGCAGCGCCGGGGGATTTGCAGTTCTTGGCGTGTGATGGGCACCGCTCGCGGCTTTCCTTGAGCAGGGCGGCCACCAAGCAGGGGGGCCATTGCTTCCCATGACAAGGGCAGCAAGACGGGGTGGAAAACGGCAAATACCTTCCCGGCTGTGTACGGCGGATTGGGATACAGGCACGTGTGTGTCTGCAGGCAGACGTAGCTCCATTTTAGCAATTCCGTTGCCTCCTCTCTTTGAGGACGGCATCCCAACAGCCCGGCCAGAGCCCGCAGCCCTGCGCGAGGCTCCCGGCCGTCCAAGCTGTGTCACCAAGCGTCCCCGTCGCAGCCCTCGCGGCCGGGCGCAGACCCACCTGCCGGCCCGCGGCGCTGTTGGGCA